TCGTTTGACTTGTTTTGGTGAAAAATCAACATAACATATAAAAACTTTGATTAAATTTCTAAAGTTTTGTTTCCATTTATAACATAACATATGTGTATACATAGTTTGAGCTTTGTCGTAGTACCATTATCAATTTGTATTATATATGTTTTTCTGGCTTAGTATGTACGTAAATTTTCATGTTTCATTCTTATGGTTGGATTTTTCCGTTTGACTAACTTGCTTCATTCATATTTAAACAAATATAGATTGAAACCAAATATGTATTCATGATTTCAGTAAAAAATTTTTATTAAAAATTGTAAAAACTCAAATTCATAAACAAGAAGAGCACATAAAAACACAATTTAAAACCGTTGCGGACCAAAAAAAATTTTCAACCCATACGGGTTGGCCCGTCACGGGTTACGGATTCTAAATGCGTGTCCAAGTCCATCCCATAACGGTCTTACTTGGGCATAACCTGCGGATCGCAGCCCATATTGACATCTCTACCCATTCATCCTTTGCTTTCTTCCCTAGCTTCTCACTCTAAGCTATGGAAATATTATATCATTTTAATTTTATATGTAAAAAAAAGTATGGAAAGAAAAGATACGTATCCGTGCGTACCACGGTCGGTTAATAATAGTGGTTTCATAAATACCAATATTTTTAAAATCAAACCGAAAAATTTTTTGGATCATAGATCAAACTGACCCCACCGGATTCAACCGAATTTAATAATTTTTCTAAAAAATAAAAATATAATTAGTTTTGTTCTTTTCTATCTATTAACTATGTCATATAAATACATACATAGCCTTCAAATATCAAACAAACATTTTATTACAAAAAATTTCAATAATTATAATAATTGGAGTAATTGTAGTGTTGAAAAAAATACTTTAGTAGTTTGGATTTAAAAGAAAACTAATGTATATATGAACATTTTATTTTTATTGTCCATTAAAAATAGAAGTATAAACGTTATTAGTTTTAAAAATCATATTTCTATTCTATTTCTTTAAAAAAAACATGATTAATAAAAAAATTAACTAAAAAAAAATGAGAATTTCACATCTAAGAGTTAAATCCGGTTCAATACGGTTTGATTGGATCGACGATTTCTGGGTTTTTGCTGGTTCAATCCGGTTTTACAACCGATTTAACTATGTTTGGATTTTAGTGTTGACCCAACCCGACCATGTCCCTGGTTCGACCTCCGGTCTGGTCTGGTTTTCCTAGGGTTATGTATTACTCTTATTGCTGGTCTCAACGGACACTTGCCGGAAAAATAAATAGTCGCTGTTTTTTGTTCTTCTCCATGGCCAGTTCTAGCAACGAACCTAATTTATTGGGTTTGTTTATAGTGGCTCTCTCTTAATTGGTTGTTGATTTTACTTTAGTTTTTGATGGTCTTCTTTTAGGTAACCGAAACCAGGAAGATGATGATTTGGAGACCGAACCGATTCTGAAGAAACAAAAGGAACAATCCGAGGAGGAGAAGGTAACCTAAAATGTTCGGAATCCTCTTGTTCCTTTGACAACAATTTCCCTTACATTAGTACTTCAATGGCTACTAACAGGACACAACGAAAGGATTTGTTGGTAGTCTCCAAGGAAGGGTCGAGTTGTTGGAGACTATCAACAAATCCTTTAGTTGTGTCCTGTTACGAGTAGCCATGTAAGGGAAATTGTCATAATAGTCTTTGATAATTCAAATATTCCCCTGTTTGTTAGATATATATATATTGTACAAGTTTTATGTTCAACTAAGCATCTTGCTCTTATTATCTCCAAAATGGCTACTCATGTCAAACTCCCAAAGTTTTTGAGGTACTTCTTTTTATCTTCAAAATATGCAGAAACGCTTGGCGCTTAATAACTTGTTATGGGGATGAATCTATAGATGAGTTTACTCTTAATTTGTTGTTATGCAATTTAAGTCATTTTTTTTTCCGTAGAGTCTTCGTGCTAACACACTTGGCTGTTAAATTCAGGAAGCTGCCACCAGAAAAAAGACTCTCTTTATTTCCAATCTCTCTCCCTAAACTAAAAATATTAGATATGTAAGTAGCCACCTTTAATTTCCACTTTTGTTCTCGGAGAAAGTTTTTCATGTCTGATATTTTATCTTCCATTTCTACAGCATCCGTTTCTTCAAATGCAACCATGTGGAAGAAGCTTTGTTGAGTTTGCTTCTGCGGAAGAAGCAAAGAAGGTGAGAGTAGTTTATCGTAATGATGAAAAGTATTTTAGTCGTCGTTTAAAAATTATACACTTATGATGAAAATTATACAAGTAGTTATTTGAAAGTACGATTGCTGATGAAATCTTTAATACTACAGGCGCTGCAAAAGAAGAACGGTAAATATATGGAAAATCGTAAGATTGTTCTTGATGGTGGCTAAGATAGCTCCAAATCCTACACCCCAAGTAAATTGATTTTCCATGTTATGGAGAGATGTTGATGTAACAGTGGTTGTAACTTATTGCTAGAGTTTTGATACCATTACAGAACACTAATGCTATTATTTTTGTTACTTAGTATTGCATAGACCACAAGGTTTGGTAAGGGATTTAAGTATTTGTATCTTGAGTTTGTTTTCAAGAGCACACTAGGTGAAGTATTTGGTATACATGGGGAGATCACAAGGGTTTTTGATTTTCCATATGGAGATTCCTTTCTCTAACTTATTATTATAGTTTTGATGCCCTTACAGAAGATTAACGCGATTTATTTTGTTAATTAGGTACAACCTTGCAGAGAAGCTTTGGTAAGGATTTTAACTATTTGACTTATGAGTTTTGTTATCAAGAGCACATTGGATGAAGTTTTTGGTATTACATTGAGAAATCACAAGGGTTTTTGATATTGCAGGCACGAAGACTACCTTCGACAAGAAAGCCTTACGATAGAAGAAGATGATTTGGAGACCAATGTGAATATGAAGAAGATGAAGGTCTATGGTGTTTATAAGAAATAGGACGGATTCTGCGGTAAGAAGATTACCTTCTCTGACGACGACTGATAGAAGAAGATGAGCTCTTTAGTGTTTTTAACTTGTGATACAATGCAACTTTGTTTTATTACTTTGCTTCTTCTTATGATATATATCGGTAACTCAAGACCGAGAGACATTAGCTTATTCATCTTAAATTAAAATGAAATATTTAATTTTTGTTTCACTTTTTATAGTACACATGTATATATGCCATTTAAGCATTAATAAAGAAACAGAAAATTAGAAGAAAACATATCATTTCCTTTCAAAGGGGGAGGAGTAGTAGAGTGATTTAGGTGTTCAACTTTGGAATTAGAAGAAATATAAAGATGAAATGTTTTTAAATATGAAACCTTTTTAGACCAAGATCCCAAGTCTGATTGAAGACTCAAAACTTCATTAAAGATAGAGAAGTAATCTGAAACATATCCAAAGCTAATGCAAAACAGCACAAAAAGAAAAAAACTCTTTTGATATAATGCAAACTCTCAGGGTAAAGGGAAGATCCTTAACGATTAGCCTTAGCAACTCTCTCAATCTCATCTTTCTTCTTGATGGCATAGCTGCAAGATTCGATAGTATTATTAGCTACACTAACTAATATACAAGTGAAGCCAATTAAAGAGACACACAATGTAGAGTGTGTTTTTTTATACCTGTTGGAAGATCCCTTTGCAGCATTGATGAGTTCATCAGCAAGGCACTCGGCAATTGTCTTGACGTTTCTAAACGCAGCTTCACGTGCACCAGTTGTGAGCAACCAGATCGCTTGGTTCACACGTCTTAGAGGAGAGATATCAACAGCCTGCCTCCTAACCACACCGGCTGATCCAATCCTGGTAGCATCTTCACGTGGACCACTGGATCACCCAAACAAACAGACACCATGAGAGACCAGTCTGGTTTACAATGTCAATGCTTAGATATTCACACAGCTTTAACAATACCTGTTGACAATTGCATCAACGATAATTTGAATTGGGTTCGCGTCAGACAAGAGGTGGATGATCTCCATAGCGTGCTTGACGATCCTCACAGCCATCAACTTCTTACCGTTGTTTCTCCCGTGCATCATGAGAGAGTTTGTGAGCCTCTCAACAATTGGGCATTGAGCCTTCCTGAACCTCTTCACAGAGTATCTTCCAGCAGTGTGGGGAACATAAGTAGCGTGTTTCGCCGGCTGAACACCAATGTAGTCAACAAGACTAATGTCTGTGACCTACACACACACAATCACACCACAGATACAAAATCAAATAAACAAATGTTGATATCAAAGCAAAAACATCACACGATCCACCAAACAATGCAAGTATATTCGAGACAACATGATTCCAAGTGAAGATGGATTGAAAACTAATAACAAGAGCATAAAGAGAACATCTTGAGGGCAGGACAAGGTTGTCAGATTGGAAACAATGAAGCGAAATGTAACACTGATATCATAACAGCGCAATAATGTTTGATGCCAATTACATATATTAAGCGATAGAAAGAGACAGATAAGGCTTAGATTACAACTAAACCCTAATAAGTATTAGATCCCAGAAACATTGCAAAGGAGCAGATCGGCTCGAGCCACACAGTCTAAAATGATTCAATGAGAAAAAAACGAGAATGAATCGGTGAGGAAATGGACCTGAATGTCATCAAAGCTCCAACGGTTGAAGAGCTTAACCTCGTTGGTAAGCTGTTGCTGAATCTCTGCGTCGATTTCTGCCGCGGCAGCCATGGCTGGAAGATCGATAGAAGATTAGCGAAAACACGAAAAAGATTTGAAAATGGAGAAATCAGAGAAAGGAGAGAGACGAATTACCTGAAAACCCTTGAAGAAGAGTAGTGTGGATGGAGAGAAGTAGGTTTCTTTAGCCGCTGCTTGAAGAAGGGGAAGCTATGAAGAAGATGAATCAAAACCCTAGAAATCTATTATACTAAAAGTTTTGGCTATAAGATGGATTTTATTGGGCCCAGATGTGATCCGATATTGGGCTTTTGGGTTGTATTCTTTTATTTGCAGGTGGGCTCTGATGGATTTAAAATGTTCGAAAGATTTGTGGACTAATCCAAGAAACACCTAATGGTCAAAGAGATGCGAGAAGAACACAATCGCAACACACCTAAAGATCTTTAACGTGAGTACATAAAACATTTTATTTGTTGATTGAATGAACCGTCTCATTCATTTTTGTTTTCTATTTAGAAAAATAAACTACATAAATATACTTACATAGATAATAAATAGAACATATGAAATATATTTTTTATGTAGAAGTTTTGAATACTTTTATAAGTAAATACGAATTCACTAATTTTAAAGTAAATATGTTAACTAACAAATTTATAGTTTACAATAAGAAATTTAATTTTTAGTCAGTTCAAAGTTTTATAATCAAGAATTGACTTTTATTGTGTTAAGTTCTTCTTTTTTATTGTAAACTATAAATTTTTAGTCAATATATTAAATTTTTATAATCAAGCAATTTTTATAACCTAGTTGTGTTAAACTTTTATAATCAAGCAACTAAGAGTTCTTCGTTTACACGGTTTTATCTTTTGTGCTTAAATCATCATTACTTTGCATCGAATAAGTTATCAAAATGCCCACCAACAGATTCTTAAGTGATAATTTATCATTCCCTTCTTAATATACATCAAAACTCATGTTTTTAGTACTAATTTTATATTACTACCGACAAAAAACCGGATTAATCGGGACCTATATGTTGGTTTTGACGTGCGTCTTTAATACAAGGAGCGTATTATCGAACCCAAATCATGACGTTTTTGTCTTTAATTATTAATTCTTCCATGTTTTATTAATGTCGTTCAAAATGCGTTCACACGAATTAATCAATATTCAATTTTTGTTTTATCTTTTATTAATGGACTACTAGATTTTATATCCACGCTACGCGTGAGTTTGTTTTAACGATAAATTTAATATATATATTTGGACTTGCTAATTATGAAATTAGCTAGACGTTGACATATATACAAAAACAAAAGTATAATTGTAAAAAAGTGAAGCAATCGTAGAGAGTAAAATAATTAATTTAACATAAATACTAATCTGTATCATAATGCAAATTCCAATTGTTAGAATTTCGTCAAAACTACTTTGTCATTTTAGTTTCTTGATTAGTATTCTTAAATAATATAAGTCTGATAGATGGATATTGACTATTTTTTCTATCACTTTTCCTCGCTTTCGTTTAGTCTACACTTTATTGTCGTTGTTCTAGATAAATTCTTTTATAAGTGAAACTAATATAACATGTTTATAGATAAGAGCTTGAGTGGGTGTACATACCATAAATTCAATATTTTGTACAACATTGTTGTCGAAGAAAATTTGAATGGAATACGTGGAGGAAAGACTTAACATATCTATAATAATTCATATTAATATTTGTGGTAGACGTGTATGAGTAAATTGCAGGACGAAAAAGTAATTATAGGTTTGAGATCACGAACCGTCTTTAAATGTTATTAGGTTCACAGTAATGGTAAGGAGCACAACACCTTTGACAACACTTTTCATCAAAACTTTTTTTTTTTGGAAATTGACAGCAACATTATCTCAAATAAATACACTTTTCATCAAAAACAAATTTTTGGAAACTGACAGCAATATTATCTCAAATAAATACACGAATGACTGTCCCGCTTGTTAAAAAGGCATATAGGTTGGCAAGTGAACAAAATTTGTAGGTAAGATGTGAGGGTATAAAAAAAAACGTGCTTACTCTAGCAGTTGCACGTGAATCTCTATCTTGCCTTTAATCACACTTTTGGCTACATCAAGAGTTTTATTGGTTTCGCGTTGTTGATGAGGTGAAGTTACTTGATGATTATTGTACATATCTTTTCAATTTGTTCAAAACCTATAACCAGCTCGTAGTTTATATTTTGCATTATCCTTAACTTAATAATATTTACTATTAATGAATACCAATATATAAGCGAGAAAAAAAAAATTTATGTTGATATTCATTAATAGTAAATATTATTTACATTTATAAATAATTTATGTTTTATTTTTATTGTCTAAATCGATCTTTCATTCAATGTTAATATATGTATTTGTGAATGGCTTTATTTAATTTATCTCTATAATGGTTTTTTTTGTGCTCATCGCATCTTAGAAGTAGCTGCATAATAAGTTTAGTAAGCATTTTATTCTAAGGAAGACCTAATTGCATACAATAATTTTATATTGTATTGAATACAAAAAAGTTATTCAAACTCGTTAAAAACGAAGCACAAAAGTCGTTTTGTGAAAGTGAAAAAGTTGAAGCGGCTATAGTTTTAATAAGATTTGTGAAAAAATTATAAGCATTTATTTTTAAAAGCACTTTGAACACCATAAACTTAATTGATTTTTTAAGCGCGTTCTTTCTAAAAAATAGTAATCACTGTGTATATTTTTATATCTATTTTACATTTATATATTAAAAATATGTTGTTAATATGTTTACAAATTTTTAATATTGTTAGTTACCACGAAGTTATGTTATCACCATTACGTTAGAAACTTAACAGGATTATAGATCAAGCTCTTTTAAAAAAAAAAAAAATGATGTGTAATTGACAAATATATAAAGTTACGTACCTCGATAATCTATTTTCAAAATGCTCTGCCTAACAAAATCAAACCAAAGAAATATGATTTAACATAGTTATAATTTAGGAACTTAATTAAGTAGCATATTATTAAAAAAAAAGTCAAAATTAATTTATGGAGAGTAAGGCGTATATAGTAAAACCCAAAATATGCATGTGTAAAAACTTGAATAGAACATACAAAGTCACAAATATAATTTAAAACACATATATACATATTTATACAATAAACTATTTCCTAATTTGTTTTTATATTTTTCATTATTTAATTATCGTTGGATCCATCGATTTCGTAATTTCATGTATTACCAAATTGATATATACTTTTTTATTTCACATATATATATGTTTTGTCAAGTTTACTTTGTTCGTTTTCTTTTTGATTTTATAAAAAAATATGTATAATTGAAAAAATGGAAATTTTATTAACTATATCATTTCACTTTACTTTTTTCAAAGTGTAGAAATTTTCTTAGATGGAAAAGTTATTAAGATAATAAAAGAAAATGTTTTAATTAAAAAATTAGAAGTTTTCTGTTAACAATAAAAAAAAAATAGTTTAACACTAAATATTGATGTAGTACAACATTATTGGTTGATTAACTCCTATGTGGAAACTTTTATGAACTTTTTTTTTTTGTCAGCAAGTTTTTCATTCATTTAAACAAATCTTATAAGTTTTTTGTAATTTTTACATTTAGTGTTAAACTAAATTACAAAATCTTATAACTAAATTACATTTAGTGTTAAACGAATCTTATAACGAATCTTACAAAATTACAAGTTTTTTGTAATTTTTACATTTATATATACTATTACATTTAAAAAGAATCTTAGAATAATTTAATATACATATTGTTGTTAATTGTTTTCTTTCTAATACGTATATTTCCTTTTTAATGTTCTTTTTGAATGCTAATTGTAATAGATTTCTTTATCTAATAAATTATTTCCTATTTAACAATACTATTTTATGATTAAAATATTTTCATTATTTGGATATTTAATGTAGATTTTTTTATCTAGCCAACTATATCCTAATTAACAACATTCTTTTATGATTAAGAAACTTTCCTAGTTCTACTATATGATATGGCATAACACTATTGGTTGATTAAATTCCAAGGTTAACGCCCTTAGGAACTAATAGCATGAACTTTTATATAGTATATAGATGTTGGAGCTGGATTATGCTATCTAATCCCAGAGAAAAAATAATATTCAAAAGAAAGCCCACGTCAGCCACATGAGTGTTTAGTCAATGGAAGCTAAGCTGACGAGTTAGGAACGAGTCAACAGAGCGGTTAGCAGAGCCATGGGAGCGAGATTCGCGGAGAATATGCCAAGAATATGTCCGAGATACGCGGAACCGCCCTGGATACGTGGACCTGGATCGAGGAGCTGAATCAAGCTATAAATAC